CGTAGCAGTCGTGTCAATTTTTGTTGATGTCCAGTGCGGGCGCGTTCAGTCGTCTTGTTGGCTCGTTTGTCGGCAATTGTCGTAACGGTGTCAAGTAGGTCAGTTGGTATCAGCTGTTCCAGTTGGTCGTCAACAACTACCCGCTCCATACAAACGACTCACTCACGACATAAACATCACAAACGACCGAAAAAGAACAACCTAACTTTACCGACAGATCGAAACAGACCAATCACGACCGACTTATGTCACTTGAGTCTTACAGCCAATAACATCACGGCAAAACCAACCGATCATTTCACACGAAGTGAAATAAGAACATTCTACTGACAACATTCATTCACTTGACTCTGATGACGACTTCCGCACAGGTTGTCGAAACGTCAGTCACTACCATCGACAACAGTCCTTGTCAGGACTACACTCACCCGGATGATCAGACTACACTTTCACATGTTACCCCCAGGTTCAAACCATTTACTGCAGTGTTGTTAGATGTTACGACAATTTCAGTTTGTTTACTGGCCAAACTGGCAGGTGGAAATTGAAAACCACAAGCCAAAACTGAATTTCTGCATAAGTCTGTGGCTAGTGGGCTACCATTAGTGTCAAGCCCTGCTCTGTTGGCTTGTGTGAAGAGTCTCTGAAGAGGTCTGAAAGCCTGATCTTGTGTGAATCATGTAACATTAAAATATGAGTCGGTATCACCTTTCTATAATGTCACAGTGTTTCTTCAGTGGTTAAACTCAAACTAGACAAGCGTTTGAATCATATTAGTTCAGTAATTTGCTGATAACCTCTTTGCTGGACTTGTACCACATGGAATGATTTATTCAATGAAATTATGCATAGGATACAATTGAAAATATTTTACCATCCCTTAAGTTTTTTCATGCCTCTAATCATGATAATACCTGCTTAGATTGTTGAAATGTCTGTGACTACGCCTGCTAACAGTCCTTGTTGGGATGTCTGTGACTACGCCTGCTAACAGTCCTTGTTGGGACTATTCACACTCCACTCAAATTCAAATAATTTACAGGTTGTTTCTAATTGCAGTCCAAATGTGAAAGAGGTTTACTGTGGTGAGAATGGTATCCTAAGGTGAGAAGAACCAGCTCTGTTATTTCTAACTTTATTTCCAGCTCCAAAGAATACATATATCTTATTACACATTTTGCTGTGTCGTATCACTGAGTATTTTGACGAGTTGTGCTGTATTTTGACGAGCCTGTAGGGCGAGTCAAAATACAAACAACGAGTAAAGATACTTAGCAATATGACATAACAAAATGTCTAATAAGAGATTTATTATCCAACATGCCAAATTGTTATTTCAGTGGGGGCAAATTTCGTGTATATTTCTGGAGTAAAGCATCGAGTGATATTTGTACTCGTCTCGCATGATATTTGTACTCTATGAAGCACATTTGGATAACACTTCTCCATTCTATCCCCTGCACTCCTCTTTTATGATGGAGGGTTCAATCATTATTTCTCTATATTTGAGTTACATCAGCCTCGGTAGCCTCTTCAACATAGTGTAGCAATACAAACTCAATTTTCACTTCATGACAATGTTGATTTGCATGCCTGCAAAGAAAGGAAAAGGGAGGTAGTCACCATTATGAAAGAGGCCTACAGGGTGTTTGCTTTGAGCCACCTTTTCCATCCCCTTGGAAATTTAAAATGTAAGTTTTGTGACATCTATTTATATCTCTATTCTTAGGTTACTTTTACTTTATTAATACACATGGCTGTAATCTTTTCTAATTTGTATTTCATAGATAGCTGTCTAATTTTCCTAGCCCTTATGGTTATTATCGGCAGCTAATACCTTACTCTTAAGTTTCAAAATCTATGTATTACTTTTTCCTTCTTGTTGGTATAAATAAATGTTGTTGTTGTTTAAAGGATAATGAAATGATCTATAAATTAAACATTAGTCATGGATAAAACTTTTTAGGTAGCTACAAGTGATCACACAGGCTCAAAGTTCAAAATTTAAAGTTCACTACCCAATACAGTTGTTTCTATTCTACTTGTTGTACGACATGAACATTCAGGTATCTCACTTTTTCCAGAGGGGGTGGTGTAGGGGTGTTTTGGGGAAGGTGTAACTGACAGACAAAAGTAAAGTTGCGTTCAGCATTTGTGTTTTTTTTTCTGGATTATCTGGATCAATTCTGGATATTACTTAAGTCATAAAAAATGAGTTGTGAAAACTTGTTTAATAATCATTACAACGTCAGTTTCATCTGACACTTCTGTAGATAGGTCTAGATATGGTGCTAGATGTGTGCAACCAAGACATGGATTTTTATTTTTACATTTTAATGTCTTTCTCTCTGCATTAATTTTTTAAATTTTCTCCTGCATTACTCTTAGGGAGAGCCTGTTGGGTTTATTGGCTTAGGAAACATGGGAGGTCCCATGGCCAAGAATTTGTTGAATGCAGGACATGAGATTTTAGTCCATGACATATTCTCAGAGGCTGTTGTAGATCTGAAACAACTGGGAGCTGCTACTGCTGCCACGCCCAGTGAAGTAGCTTCCAAGGCAACTACAATTGTCACCATGTTACCTTCGAGGTAATTTGAATACTTGGTATTTTTCTCACCACCAGCAAAAGCACTTTCTAGTCACTTAAACCTTGAAAAGAGACGTTTTCCTGCAGCTTGTGCATTGGAGAAAGTTGTTAAAGACTGCAATATTACCTTAAAAAATCAACAATTTAACTTAGGTTCTATCAACTGAGTTGATAATGTTAATTGGCCACTATAAAGTGTTTAAAGCTAGTTTCTTTAGAAACTTGCCCCTTAGAAAAATCAATAGTCAAGTTTAAGAAGCAAAGTTCTAAGGTTGATTGAAAACTTTGAAAGACAAATTTGCAGCCAAGAACATTGTCTGTTACTCTCTGTCAGAGCGCAACACTAACTTTTCTACTTACTATTGTATTGTATTGTAATCTTTATTTAAACATGATCAATTCATCAGCCTAAAAAAATACATATCACATATGCTAAGATATTTAAAATTAAAACTACTTCCTATAGCACTAAAGCTGTTTTCCGTGAATGCCATGCGTTAGACTTAAAGAATGTCATTGATCTTATGTTTAAATAACCCCAGAGACTCTGTGTTCCTTATATCGCGTGGTAAACTGTTCCATAATGTGGCGCCATTGTAGCTAAAGCTTTTTCTGTAATAATTAGTGCGCGGTAGTGGAACATTAAGCTTATTTNGTTCTGTGAAGCCTGGATCATTGTTAATTGACACAAGCACCATAGAACCAGCAGTTGCCAAGGAGATGGGTGAAATTGTACAGAGCAAAGGAGCCACTTTTCTGGATGCACCAGTCTCTGGAGGTGAGGTGTCATTTACCATTGTACATCCAGACGTCAGTATGTACAATCTCCATGGTTTTCTTTGGTGCTCATTTTCTCTATCTCCAGATGTACATGTCAACGCAACAGACATATCACATCTATGGTCTGAATTTTCAAAGGAAGACAGTTCAGGAGATATAAAATTCTTCACAACTTTTGTGGGAAATTGTCATCGCCATATATGCGTATTACAGGAGTGATAGGAAGTTGCATTGGCAGCCATTGATGAGAAAAATGTGACAAGTTAACCCTTTAACTCCTAATATCTCATTAGTTATTCTCCTCACTGTATGCTCTACAATTTGTAAGATGTTAGTTTGGAGAATTTTGTTATTGGTTCAAATAATCCCCTAATTGATATTTTCATTTATTCTCGTTACTTGTCTTCTTGATATTGTATTGATATTGTAAGGAGAAATTCTGTCTTGGTCACTCATGGGAGGTAGAAGGTTAAAGAGCCAGTTGACAATTAAAAGTTTAAGCCTTTGGCTACAAACAGTACATTTTTGGAGTTGTCTATACAGCAATGGTGAGAAAAAAAGAAAAATGTTGCACAAATATCTGGAGGCGAGTCCTCTCTTTTTCACAAACCAGTTTAGGGAGGGTACTGGATTTCTCTCTTTTTAATTGTTTGTACCAGTGATGGGCCAAAGGGGTCTTTAGGTAGTATAGGCATGTATAATGTTGATCAAACTCTCAAATTAATGTAACCTAATGTCTGTCTGCAAATTTATTTTTAAGGGTAACAGCAGCTAAAGGAGGAACATTAACATTTATGGTTGGTGGTGAAGATGACGCTTATGAAAGGGCCTCAAAAATATTACAACACATGGGAAAGAATGTAATTCACACTGGAGCTACTGGCACAGGGCAGGTAGTTTGAATAGAATGCAGTCACTTAACCCTTTCACTCCCATGGGTGATCAACACATATTTTCTCTTTACAACATCGGTACAATATCAAATAGACAAGTGATGAGAATTAAGAAAAATATCAATAGGGGGGTTAATTACTAGATCCAATATCAAATTCACCAAACTCACATCATAA